TCTGAATCTTCTGGCCTGCTGAGCTCTTGGAAAGGGTGTCTTCTTCTTCTCAGCAGATCTTCTTCATGCAGAACTCAACTCACAACAGCTTTAACAGGTTCCTCCCTTCCAACAAGCAGTGAGGAACTTCACCCAGGACCAACTGGATTTAAGCCTATCGTTCCCTCCTTCCAGTGAAGACACATCCTCAAAATCTAGGAGGACTTGAGAAGTTTCCTCAAGTGGCTGATTTTTTTTCTTCCTTCCATGACGTGCGCCGAGAACCTTCCACGATAAACCTGGATACACTCAGGTGGCCTTAATCCAAGATCCGTGGGCACATTTTCACCCAGGAGATTGGACAAGCATACAGCTGCTCAACTGGTATTCAAGTTACAAGAGTGAGACCCTAGTGGTTCAAGCAGAGAAGATGTTGTGTGTTTCTAATATTTCTCCACCCAGGGGGGCCTTGATTAAAATGAACAAATGACCATATATATATATGCCGTGACGGATATGTGGAGATGGTTTCTTCTTTTTCCATCCCTGACCTGTGGCCATTTTTTGCTCCTTAGCCCCCAGCTTTCAGAAAAAAAAAATCAGGAATAACAAGGAGGAAATTACACAAACCGTTTCCCAAGGATGAAACAAGAGAAGACACGTAGAGTAAATTATATTTATGGTTCTCGTTGGCAATCACCACGCTGTTACTCAAACCAACAGGTAAAACAATTGTGCAAAAGTAGGGTAAGTGCTAACAATCCTTCTGTAAGGCACTCAGAAGGCAGGGCAGAGAGGTAGGCATTTAACAGGCACCCCAAGACATAAGGTTGTGCACCCCACGGACTGTGAGCAGACCCAGGGAAGAGGCCCAGATGTTGGTGAACGCGGGATGCTGCGATTCTCGGCGCTTAGGCAGAAACCTCCCCAGGTGTTGGCGACCAAGGAGGGGAGCAACCATGTTAACACTGCCCCATTGGACAATTCAGCACCGCCTTTCCTGAAGTCACTCAACCTCACTCTCCGAAACTATCTCCAAGGTTAAGCAGAGCGGATCTCAAAAAGTGTATCTGGATATAAGGTTAGATCAGGAGTTGGCAACCCATGGCTCTGGAGCCGCGTGCGGCTCTACCTTCCCTCTGCTGTGGCTCCACAATTGATAGGGTTTTCGGTTAGGACAGGTAGAGGAAAAAGGACGCCACGCTAGGAGACTCTATGATGGGGGAACCGGACTTCTGGTCGGCTCCAGAATTGACCGGGGAGCTTCCGGTTAGAACTTTTGTGGCTCTTTGAGTGTTTTAAGGTGGCCGACCCCTGGGTTAGATGATCATGTTTGAGAGTCCTCCTCTTCCTCCTCCACCCCGCAAATCCCCATTCCTTCTAGCACCGATGACGCTACAAAGCTGGGTCCTAAAATGTCTGCAAGGAAACTGCCCAGTTGAGAGACGCCCACGGTCCAATCCCGATCCGATTTTCTTCGACTCCCACCAGTTTGGAAACTCGCCTTAGAAGAAAAAATATCTACCACATGTGAAAGGGTAAAATATAAATATCCTCGAAGGGCCAAGAAAAGGGGGAGCGAGTTCGAAAGCAGCCAGAAAACACCCATTGGGTTTTAGAACCATGGCGCCAAGGACAGATCTATAAAGTGACAACCTGACCAGAAACACAGTTTTCGGGATTCACGGCCTCCCGCCTCCACGACAAAGGGTGCCGTGCCAAACAGGTGTGGGTTGCGGTTTTCGAAACACTGATGTCCCACCCAGTTCTGCAAAGAAGGGAGGAGAGATACCGATGAAACTCCGAGAGGAACTTGTAGTGGGAAAGTTAAGGAAGAGGAAGGCGGATCGGGAGGTGTGCGGCGGGCATCCAGGTTGTCTGTTTTAAGGGGAGCTGCTAGAATCCGTTTCTTTCTGTGGCTGCAGTTCGATGAAGAGACCTTAAAAAAGAAAAAACAGGAGAGAAACAAAGGAGATATAGACAATTCGAGGCCAGGAACATAGAATATTACTGAAAATTGTATCAGGCAATCAGGGTGGCCAGCTTTAATCTATATTTCTCAACACTCGGAGAGCTTTCGGCCACGTGGCTTGGAATTCTGGGAACTGTAGTCTTGGGGTGGGGTGGGATGGAAATTCAGGTTGGAGAAGGCAGGCTGAAGGGACCCTGTACAGGTAACCCTCGACTTATGACAGTTCCTTGAGCAACCGTTCAAAGTTACGACGGAGACTTACCTGTGGCCTCTGCATGGAGAGTCTGTCCATCCACACTCCAGACTTCGCCGCTCGCAAAGATCTTCCTGCCTTCGATCTTGTCCACCCGGGTGTCCACCAGGATCACGGAGCCCAACTCCACGGGACTGAACGGAGGGGGAGAACAAAGGCTAATGGTTACGAGACGCCGAATTCCTCCCTTGGCAACTGTGGCAAGGTAGGTGACTTCACAAATGTTTCGCGGTTGAGAGGCAGCGTGTCTTGGTAAAGGTTCCCCTCGCGCTACAAAGCCGAAGAAGAGTCAGCGCTGCCCGAAGACGTCTCCGTGGTCATGGGCAGGCATGACTAAACGCCTTTGAAGGCGCACGGAACGCTGTTGTCTTCCCACCAAAGGGGTTCCTATTTTTCTACTTGCTTTTATTTATTTTTTTTACGTGCTTTCAAACTGCTAGGTTGGCAGAAGCTGGGACAACGAACAGGAGCTCACTCCGTTCCGCAGTGCTAGGGATTCGAACCGCCAAACTTTCTGACCGATAGGCTCAGCGTCTTAGTCGCTGAGCTACCACGTCCCCTTAAGACAACGGCCTGTCTAGACAATGCATATAAAATACTATAAAAAAATATAAACAATAACATGTTTGGTGGTCAGTCTCCTCCTCCATCCCCCACCAATCTTGTTAGGAGGCTGAGAGATCGACTTAGGAACAAAACCAAACCTTACAAAAATGGCTTGTTTATATTCTTATGAAAAAAAAAAGAGTTGTGATTTGATGTTTAATGCCTTATTTTACCGCGCTGACTTTCAGCTCTGTTAGAATTCATTACTCTGCTAAACAAATAATTCCCTCAACACTGCCCAACTATTTACAAAGTCTGCACTACTATTATTAATTCTCCCATCACTCCTTATCGCCATCTCCTCCTACTTGTGACTGTATGACTGTAACTTTGTCGCTTGTATCTTTATGATTTATATGGACTGTTTCCTAGTATGATTTGATTGCTTACTGTACCTATGGCTATTATTAAGTGTTGTACCTGATGATTCTAGACTCTTGTATCTTTTCTCTTATGGACACTGAGAGTATTTGCACCAAGACAAATTCCTTGTGTGTCCAATCACACTTGGCCAATAAAGAATTCTATTCTATCCTTTCTTTCTTTCTTTTTCTATCTATCTATCTATCTATCTATCTATCTATCTATCTATCTATCTATCTATCTATCTATCTATCTATCTATCTATCTGATTTGATTGCTTACTGTACCTATGACTATTAAGTGTTGTACCTTATGATTCTTGACTCTTGACAAATGTATATTTTCTTTTATGCACAGAGTATTTGCACCAAGACAAATTCCTTGTGTGTCCAATCACACTTGGCCAATAAAGAATTCTATTCTATATTCTATTCTATTCTATTCTATTCTGTTCTGTTCTGTTCTGTTCTGTTCTGTTCTATTCTTTATTCTTTATTCTATTCTATTCTATTCTATTCTATTCTATTCTATTCTATTCTTTATTCCATTCCTATTCTATTCTAACACAGAGAGCTGGAAGTCAGTGTTTCTTTTTTCCTCCCCCCCACTCACTTCCCTTTCCCCTTTTCCTCCCCCATTGCTTTTCTATTTACTTTTGTATTTCGTATCTTGTCTGATAACTCAATTTTAAAAAAAAGTTAAACCTGGAATAAAACAAAACCAAAAAAACCTCCTTGGAATCGGCACACCTGGCCAATTCCGACTTCAATTCTTCTCCTCCCAATTCAGACCTCCTTTCCTAAGGAGGCACTGACCTCTTGTAGTTGATGTTGAGGTTAGCGGTCACCACCCTGCGGCTGATGTAGATGACGCTGGCCCCCACCGTGCTGTCCAGGATAGTGGCGATGGCCCCGCCGTGGGCGAACCTTGAGAGGCGGAATAAAATAAGAACTCAACCACGGAGGCTTGAAGAAAGAAGGAGCTTGCAAGCTCCCAAAACGGGGAGGGGATTTATGTGGGTAAAACAAAGAAAAGAAAATTGAGCGGCCCGTTTTCAGAAAGAGTCAACGCCAGGGGACGCTACAAAGAGATAAATATTTATTAATGATTGAACTTGTGTTTATTTATTACATTTATTTGCCTCCCCGTCCTCCGGCTGGAGAATTCTGGGAGTTGGAAGTCCACAAGCCTTAAAGTTTCCCTGCTATAAGTGGAGAATTCCTGGCTGCTAGAAATGAACTAATGGATGTAAAGTATGTACGTTTGCAGCTTAGAACTACGTTTGCAATTGTCCTGTAAGATTTCAAAGCAGGGGGTTGGATTAGAACAGTGGTTGCCAGCCAGTGGGCCGGGGATTTTGGTGGTCCGCGAGAAAATTTTGGTGGTCCGCAGAGAAATGTCCTTCCCCCCCCAAAGCAATTAATCCAGGCTGCGCAGGGATACAAGGCTGTACCGCCCACATGCCCGCCTACCCGCTGTCCCCCACGCTTCGGCCGAGTGCAAACCTTACCTTGAGTAGAGCCACGCAAGCTGGAATTGGAAGGTAAGACCAACGGCAGGGGAGGGAAATCCGTCCCGGGGTGGCTTGCTGACGTTGGTGGGGAAGTCGTTCCCATATTCCAGAGCTGCAGGAGTCACAGGATTGGCCCTTTGGTCATCCTGGAGCAACTCTTCCAGTCCATGGCAGGCCGGTGCACCTGGGTGGAGGAGCAGCTACTCTGGGATGACCAAAGGGCCAGTCCTGTGACTCCTGCAGCTCTGGAATATGGGACCAACTTCCCCACCAATACCAGCAAGCCACCGTCAGTCAAAATCCGTATTCATGGTCCACGGAATTTAAAATGATGAGTTTGGTGGTCCCTGAGGCCCAAAAGGTTGGCGATCCCTGGGCTAGATGACCTACAACAGGGGTGGGCAAACTTTTTGGCTCGGGGGCCTCATTGACTTTTAAAATTTGACAGACGGGCCACCACCTGGTGTCGAAATGCCTGTCATTACAAGTCAAAATAAAATGAATGCAATCATTCACATCAAACCTTAATTCTGTACCAATCTTCGGCGGGCCGGATTAAAAAGACCAACGGGCCGGATGTGGCCCCCGGGCCGTAGTTTGCCCACCCCTGACCTACAAGGTGCCTTCCAACTCTATTGTGAATATTCTGATTTTTTTAAACTGGATTTTTTTTTAAAAAAAAGCTCACCCCGAAGGCCCCTCGAGGTAGGGCCCTAATTGGAAGACGGCCGCCACCCTCTTCTCCGAAGGCTTCAGGAACATGGCGTACTCAAAGCCTTTGCCTTCCTCGTCGATACTTCGGAGAAACATCCGGTATTTTCGGTTGCGGAGCTTTTCCTTCCAGGGTCCTTCTGCAGAAGCGGCGAAAAAAGGTAACGTCAGCTGAGGCTGAAGTACATCGAGGTAGACCACACCTTACAAACGCAACCGAAGGCCGGCATTTCTACTGCTGAGCCAGGCAAGGTGGCTTGACTTTTCTGGTCATGGCTGTTGAGCGGAACCCTGGAGTTGTCAAGTTAGCCATAGGTTTGTTGTGAAGAGAGAAAGGGAAAGCAAGGAGAGAAGTAGGGAGGAGAGAGAAAGACCGAAAGATGGAAGAAAGGAAGGTAGGAGGGAAGGAAGGAGGGAGGGAAGAAAAAAAGGGAAGGACAGAGAGAAAGAGAGAAAGAAAGAAAGAAAGAAAGAAAGAAAGAAAGAAAGAAAGAAAGAAAGAAAGAAAGAAAGAAAGAAAGAAAGGAAGAAAGGAAAGCTTGCCTGGAAGGTGATCAGAGTAACTTTGGTAAGATGGCAGCTTCTGCCATCTGCCATCTTTCGTCATCTCCATATATCGGTTAAACTGGTGCACCATTTCTTGGCTCCAGCTTGGGTTGGGGACAGCCAGATCTATACTCTTCTCTGATATGAGTATCCCAGCCTGCAAAACAGAAAATGGACCTTAGAACACGGAACAAGAGGGTCGGAGGGGACCTTGGAGGTCAACCAGCCCAACCCCCAGCAAATACAAATCTCTGGAGTTCCCTTGCTTTGATATCATTTGGTGTCAGCTTGGGTCACCCACCAAACATGGCTTAAAACAGGGGTGGCCAACTCTGGCTCCTTCATGAGTTGAAGTCCACAGGACGTCAAGGGCCCAGAGTCGCCTGTCCCTGGTTTAAAAGCCACGAAAACTGGCTTGATGGGCGGTGTGCTAAACCCAATGGAAACAAGCCACGATGCATGCAACAAGCGACAGCATTTATCAGACGGCCGGGTGAAACCAGACTTTTACGTGAACACGGTGCGGGGAAATTCACACCGGAAGTCAAAGCTATTCCCCCAACTAAACCTCCCCCCACAAATACAATAAAATAAAAATAAATTCTCAGGGTTGGTTAGGACAAAAGATGAACTGGCAACTCTTTTTCTTTTTTTTGGATACTTACGGCGGAATTTCCTTGTAGCTTGTGGGAGAAACGCTGGAGGAGTGCCCCGTTTCTAGGAGTCACAAAGTAAGGGAGACCCCATCCCAACCTTGCCCAGTTCCTCAGCATGACTGGTGCAGTTCAAAGGATCCCACTTCTTGTCAGCGGAATTCAGAATTCATTAACCGCGATGGCGAGAGGGGAAGAAGTCAGACCTCCACCTGTCAAAAGAAGGCGAGAGTGACAGTTTAAAGTTTAATTTTGTGGCTCAAGAGAGATCTGTCTTTCTCTCTCCCCTTAGTTGCCCCCACTTTCTGGGTCGTCACAGACTCCAGTCTCCATTTCTCCCAGCCAGTAGGACAAGTGCAGTGTTTGGGAGCTGATGGGGACTGTAAGCTCATCTATCCGGGCCACAGCAGTGGTTTTTTTCGTGGGGGAGGGGGGAGGGCATCCTAAGCCCAAATGGCAAAAGGTATCCTGTGAAGGTCAAGCAGTTGAGCAACATGGTAGTCTTGGCAGAACCTTAAATATGGCAAATATTGGACTTCCGTGGTTCTCCAGCGTCTCTTGTTTATTCATTTCTATCTCTTGATCCATCGCCCTTTCTTTTATTCCATGGCATGAAATCACCCCTAATTTCTAGATTTTTTTTTACAAAATTGCATGTACAAAGTTTATTTCCTGTATACACACACACACACACACACACACACACACTTATATTCTCTCCCTCCCTTCCTCCCTCTCTGTATGTATATATATATATATATATATATATATATATATATATATATATATAT